CTAGCACCCAAATCCCCACCTCCTCACTGTGGCTGTGTTCTGCACTGCTCCTCTTTGCTCAGGCCCCAGCATTGGGACCTCAGAATGAAGCTGCCATAGACCTCTTCCTAATCCCTCAAATCCCACAGTGTAGGAGTGATTATGAATTTCAGCCCCAAAACAGAGGACAACAATATTGATATGGGCAGCTTATGAAGCGGTTCTGTTATGTGCTGGTGTGCAGGAGACTGAGGCTGGACCAAATGATGAGGGAATCTCTGTCACCAGGTTTCTAACATCCAACCTCTCAACATGTGCTTCCTGCAGCACTGGGATGGCACGGCCAGACCAAGCTTCCTCTCATCCCTCAAGGATGCACAATGATCAGCTCGTCCTCAAATCCCCAGGTGGGCTGTTGTGAACTTGTGAGAGCCTTATGTTAATGGCAGAGGAGACACCTTTGACTTGCTGCTCCTTAAAATATCTACATGTTCTAAATCATTTTAGCTCTGAATCTGGGAAGGAAAATGCTGAGAAAAAGAAGATAGCGAATGGCACAGCTGGACTGCACAAAGCAGAGGCTGTTGGCAACCCCTTAGCATATAAAACCAACTCTGTTGACTGGACTGGAGCTTGTTGGCTTTTAAGGAGGCGCAGGGAAGATGCAGACAAATCTGAGTTGCAGATTTATAAATACAGATCCGAAAACCCTGCCTTTAACTTAGTTTTCACATTACCCTTTTCAGGGAGAAGGAAGGGGAACAGGATGACGGTGAAGCAGCACGGATACATCTAACTGGATATGGCAAGGCATCAAGCTATGAAGTTACTGCTCTGTCGTAACAGCCAAAAGGCAAGAGGAATGCTGTAAATATGTTTTAGCTTCATCTTTAAGCATTAAATCCTTCTGCTTTACTGATGCAAGCTGTATTAAATATGTCCATAAATGTCCATAAACGTATTCCCTGTCTCCAAAAGAGAAGTAAGATGTACAGAAACTGGGAATGAGAGGTAAGCTTCAGATCCAGAGAAGCTAATAGTATTCTTTAAACCCAGAGAGCAGTTTCTAATGCGACTATGCCTCTTGACTGCCCTGATTCCCCCCCAGCCCTCTTTTTAAACTAAGACCTCTTTGGGGATTATAACCACATGTGACTGTAAGCTTTAGGGGTCTTATTTACCCAGGAATCACACTCACATCTGCCAAACTTTGTTTAACCGTTCTTTAATCATGTTCTAAGAACCCCCATGAGCTCCAAGTTCTTAAAGCTAAGCAAACCATCTCGCACCAGACAAAAATCACGTCTGATTAATTGCACTTCTCTTCTTACAAAAGTGCTCCTTCCCCTTCAGTAAATTCCTCTGTGAGAAGCACCATCAGGCGTTCGGCCTCATTATGCTCCTGCCAAAAGAGACAGGCAAATGTCCCATGGTGGGAAATCCCAAGCAGAGCCAAGATGGCTCTGAGCAGAGTAGAAAAGCAGTGGCCTGGGCTCTGCTGCCTTTGTGATCCATGTTCACCAGCATGTTAGAAGTTACCCTTGTGTAAGTGGAAGCCACATGCTCGGTTACAGTACTGGAAGAGAGCCTGTGTAAAAACCAAAATGAGTAACTACTATTTCTGAAACTTGGGAGAACTTGTGACAGAAAGGTTTAGCACATACCCTATAAACTGACCTTCTTTAAACGTAGAATCCCAGACTGGTTTGGGTTGGACGGGACCTTAAGGCTCCTCCACCTCCAACCGCTGCCACAGGCAGGGACACCTTCCACTGGAGCAGCTTGCTCCAAGCCCCTGTGTCCAACCTGGCCTTGAACACTGCCAGGGATGGGGCAGCCACAGCTTCTCTGGGCACCCTGTGCCAGCGCCTCAGCACCCTCACAGGGAAGAGCTTCTGCCTAAGAGCTCAGCTCAGTCTCCCCTCGGGCAGGTTCAAGCCATTCCCCTTGCCCTGTCCCTACAGGCCCTTGTCCCAAGTCCCTCTCCAGGTTTCTTGTAGCTGTTCTAAGGTTATATTACATGTCAGCAAAAGCACTTTAAACCCAGGTTTGGATTTCAGTTCTTGAACACACAGGACTCACACCACATTTTTCTCTCCCACCCAAAGCATCTCTTGATCATCGAGAGCATTCTTGCTTGGCACAAACCTCAGAACACCATTTACCTGGAGGAATGGACTGTGTGACTGATTGTCACAACGTAGCCAGCCCCTCCAACATCTAAGTAGGGACCGGTAAAGGTAATGAGTCCTGGGTTAGCCACTGCATGCAAGTACCTAAGGGAAGACAAAGGAAATGATCAGAATTAGTGACAAATGGTTACTTTAACCTTTAAGACACCATCCTTACCCTTGCAGGAATAGAGGCAGACACTGAAGTCTGCACAATGTAAACAGTGTGCTACCAAACTGATGTTTCTTCATAGTAAACAGATACCAAAGCACAGTTAGGACCCATGCCTAAAACAGGCTAGCTCAATAAATGCTCCTCGTTGCATCCAACTGCATTAAAAGCTTAATTTATTCTACACAGAATATATTTAATGTAATTTTAGACATTTTCCCCCTAGAACATCCAATGACTTAGTGCCAGCAGTCCCAAACACAAAGTTAATGCTTTCAAAATTGATATGTTGCAAATGGAGAAGAAATGACATCCTGTACACAGAATTCAGGCACGAGAATTCAGAAATATGCCAGAAAGTGATTCCAATCTCTTTATAAACTTACTTTCAACAAAAATAAGCCACAATCATGTCATTTATCTTCTTACTGTACTAAGGAAGATTATAAAACATTCCAGGTGTTGGAAACACTTTTCTGTATGAAAAACCTTTGCTTTTCTCTACCACAGTGCATTAACCTATGAGTCTGCACTGGGCTGTGCAAAGAGCTCAACTGACTTCTACTTTATTTCTAGTGTTTTACTTGCATCTGCTTTCCCCAACACTACCACTTGGCTTTACATAAAAACCAGGGCACTATCGCATGCTGCACATGGAGGTATTTCCAAAATCATGGATCAAGAAAATCAGGGAAATGTGAAAGGGAAGAAGAAAATCCCACCCCAAACGAACCCCTGAAACGATAATGAAAATAATACGGGAGCTTTTAAAATGAAGACATGGGATTGTAAATGTGCACTCAGCTCATTTGCAATATCACAGATTCATAGAACCTTAGAATGGTTTGTGTTGGAAGGGACCTTAAATCTCATCCAGCTCCAGCCCCTGTCACGGGCAGGGACACCTTCTACTAGAGCAGCTTGCTCCAAGCCCCTGTGTCCAACCTGGCCTTGAGCACTACCAGGGATGGGGCAGCCACAGCTTCTCTGGGCACCCTGTGCCAGCGCCTCAGCACCCTCATATGGAAGAGCTTTTTCACTGTGATATGTATGAAATATATTAAAATATATGTAGATATGTATATGATCTCTTTGAATGCACCCCATTTATCTTAATGCTGAAAAAAAGAGTGAAATTCCATCACAAAAAGAACAAAAACCTGAGGAAAACCTAACCTGTAGCCATGGTATTTTCAGGGAAAACCTGTATCAAAGAACGACAGCATGGCCAATGCCAGGAGCATTTCAGAGCCTTCCCTCTGCAGCCAGAGCCGCTGGCTCAGGCCTTGCCCAGCGTCATGGTGTGGAAGTACCTGGCTGGCTCCTTTCAACAAAGCACACATCCACACATGCTCCAGAGCACTCTCATGGCTCCAGCTCTCATTTGTAGTGGATACAAATGTTTTCCCAAATCAGATGCTGCTGCATAATTAATAGAGCATCGAGCCAGGAAATTCCTGCTGTAAATGAGCAAGGAAACCCGCTCTAAACAAACAGAAAGACTGCAATATTCACAACCAAAAATGGCACAAGGACCTGAAAACACTCCTGAATTGGCTAATCCTGAAGGGGATGCTCATTTCCTGCATATTTATAGTCCCATCTGCCATGGCAGGGATGTGAAACAGAAGCTATCACTTGAAATAAGAAGGACTGAAATTAGAACCAAGGAAGGTTTTAACAAGCTGTATTTGAGCACCAAGGATGAAAACATTTCTAGTTAAGTAGTTTATGAGCTGGCCATGAAAAAACCCAGGCTATGGAATGGATCTCAACTATTTCTCTTATTGCCCTTTGGGATTATCCAAAGCTTTGATAACGGGACCCTAAAAACTCACCATTGTCTCCTGGTGGGATCAAATGCTTTGTCCATGAGGGAACCGGGGTAAATTCGGAGCACCCCATTGGGGGTTGCTATGTAACGGCGCACAATGTAACTGTTGAGGATGCTGATTTCCATTTGTGTCATCCATTCATCTGTGACGTGACTGGTAGCCATTACTTCATTTCTGACAGAGAACTGCAAAACAAAGGCAGACCTGGCAGGGTTCCTCTAAGACTTGCAGGAAAAGATAATGAGCTGCTCGTGGGGTTTCCTAAAGAGCGATCGGAGATCATCTAAACTCAATTACTTGTCTCAAGTCTTCTCACACCAGACGGATCTGGCACATTCCAAGCAAAGGGAAAGCTTATTATAATGAAATAATGTTGTCATTATCTCTGAGGCTTTGAGAGTTTGCCTTTTTACTTCATGTAAATATAAACACTGCTTGGCTTGCATGCAAAACACATTTCTCATTTATGTGCTTAGGAAAACAAAGAATTTACTGCAACTTTAGTTTTTCTAGTATTTATTTCAATAGCTGCTTATCAGCTTCCTTCCGCCCTCCTGGGGAGGAAGCCTTCTCCCTCTTCTTTCCACTCTTCCAGGCCTTGAAGACCACAGCTGTCTCCCCAGGCATGGGAACAACATTCCAAGCCACCTCTCCATAACCCTTTGAGCACCAGAAGATGAGTGTTCCTCCCAGATGAAGGTGTGGGACAAGAGGGAACCATGTCCTCCATCCCCAGGGCCTACCTTCAGGCCAGGATTGGCAATGAGGCGCGTGTTGTCACTGAGGTACGCCGTGTAATGCTCCACCATCCGCTTGGTCTCGGGCTGGCTGAGGTGTTCATAAGGAGAAGAGAAGCTGCCCGCAGAGAGCATTACTGTGGGGCTTTCTGAAAGGAGCAAAATGTGAGAAGGGTCAGTGAACTGCCCACAGTGCACAGCAAACACATCTGTACTGTGAAGGGTATCTGATGTGATGTCCTGGCTGAGGACATGTGGAGGGAATTACACTGATGCACTGTTTGCTCCTCTCTCTGCTCCTCCATTCTGCCACACTTTGGCACACAAAGCACATAGCTCCTTCAGGGTCATGGGTGGGCTGTGAGCATGGGCAGGAAACTTGAGGTTTTTCACCCAAACCAGAGCATTCACCAGCACCACTTGGCTCCCCAGGCATGGACAAAACTCAGGTTGCACGTGAACAACCTTCCTTGCTTCAAAATACAGGAGTCACAAAGTCAGTCCTCTTAGAACCATGAAATCCCAGCCTGGTTTGGGTTGGAAGGGACCTTAAAGCTCCTCCAGCTCCAACCCCTGCCATGGGCAGGGACCCCTTCCACTGGAGCAGCTTGCTCCAAGCCCCTGTGTCCAACCTGGCCTTGAGCACTGCCAGGGATGGGGCAGCCACAGCTTCTCTGGGCACCCTGTGCCAGCGCCTCAGCACCCTCACAGGGAAGAGCTTCTGCCTAAGAGCTCAGCTCAGTCTCCCCTCGGGCAGGGTCAAGCCATTCCCCTTGGCCTGTCCCTACAGGCCCTTGTCCAAAGTTACAAGTAAAACCCAAATTCATTTCAGTTGAAATTTCAGTGACAGATAATGACCAAATGGAGAATTCCAAGGCCAGAAGAGGGAGGTTACCAACAGCAGTGTAGCTGTCTGGGTGATTTTCAGAACAGACTAGAAAGTGAACTTTCATCGTGCAGAAACTGCAGTACCAGACAGCTTTTTCTTTTTAAAAGAAAAATGATGGTGATGATGCAGTGCTGAAGGCTGAGAACTCCTTTTCTGAGTATTTGACCCATGAAACCCAATTTCCCCATGTGTAATGGTCTCCAGAGGAAAAATTTCGCTGGACTTATGTGGAGTGTTCTGCTTTTATTCACATTCCTCTAAAACACATCACCAGACAGCCAGCAACCAGATGTACTGCAGTCATCACTTACAAACTTCTATTACAGTCCTTCATCTGCTTCCCAGACCAAATACTCTGATGTGACTGCATTTTTGCTTTGCATGAAGTTTTTCCACTTGTCTGCTTAGTACTGGGGTTTTTGGAGATTTTCCATTTATATCTTGTCTTTCTGGATAGAAAATAATCAAGCCTAGGCAGCACATTAAAGAAAAAAAAACCCACCCTGTATTTAAACAATTGGCAAAGCAATTTCCATGGGTTTGTTAAGTTCCTCCATAACTCCTCCAGTCTAATCTCACTTAGCTATTTGTGGCACTGCAATATAGCTAAGAAAATCCACCACAAGACCTTCAAACCTTGCTACAAACAAAAGCACTTGAGAACTTCTCATATATAGCACAGAGTTTAGCAAATCCCCAAAGGTTAATACTTAGATATGAAAATTTGCAACTTACTATGATTATATGAAAACCTTCTATGTTCTTAGGATATCTTTTAAGCTCTCTATTCTTTCCAGACACTAGAACTTATATTGCCATGGAGAGTCTCCCTCTTCCCAGTTATATTTGAGCAACTACTGAACTTAGTTAGAGCAGAATTGGTTAAGCTTAAAAGCAGGAGTATGTCAGTAACCCAACAATTTAAGCAGGTAAGGAGGGGCTGGAAACCATCACACCACTGAAGTTCAGTTTCCCCCAACAGGCTTAACTTCTGGCTTCACATGGATTGATGGTATTAAGTGATTATGGCAATGAAAAGCCTGCACAAATCCAAAGTCAAAAGAATAGTAGTCCTGCACAACTGGCTGGGACTTCATCTTACTTATTTGTCAATAAGCTGCTTTACAGCTGAGAGCAGAGAACTGAGTTTTAAGCTTGGTGAGGCATCTCTCACTCTCAGCACTCCACTTGATGGAGTTCCCAGATCGAGTTGGGTAAATGCACTCATGGTGCATTTATCTTGTACTCTGATGAGCAGTCCCATGGCGTTCATCCATGCAAGTGCTGGCCCCTGAGCAGGGGAGCTATGATCAATGAAAGGTAACAGCTGATTAAAGAATCAGCCTTGGAAATAAAAGCCTCTCAAGAGAAGAGTATTTCCAGGGTTTTGTGAGAAGCTTTCTACTTCCACACTCTACAGAAACACACATGAGGTGGTCCAGATGAATTGTGAGGAGGCTTTACCTAAGGTAGCCAGCTGCTTGAAGTGCAGGCAGGCATTTGGCTGGCCCAGCAGATCCAGTCGATGATACAGGAGCTTGCTGCTGGGGACTGTGTTGAGATTCTTCAGCTGCTTAACAGGTATTTCTGGCTGTATTACCACCACACAGAGAATAAAGGATGTGTCCTGGACCTGAAAAACATCGGGCAAGTCATCAAACAGAAACAAAAAGGTGGAGGAGTTACAGAACTTGTATTGTGTTTAACAGTCACTCTTCTCTTTAACTGCTCATCTTGTCCAGTTCTGGAAGGCAGCACCACACTTAGCCACAGTTCCCATTCTCTGAAAACAGACAGCTCCTTTCAAAGAAGCTAATATGGACTTAATCCTATAGAAAACAGTGAGAAGTCCTGTGCTCAAGCCACACAGGTCAACATGCACAATGGGGACACTTGTCTCCAGTGGTCTGATGACCGCAACTCAGTCCCATACAGCCACCTTCCAGTCTGTAATCACCTGGTATGGATCAGAGCCACTAAACTGCAAAAATTTCCCAATCTTCTCCATAGTCTATGGAGAAAATATTTAGTCTTCAGGAAAAATCATTACACTAAGACCTTCATTTGGTTGTTCAATTAGCAGTAACTTCTAATAGTGTTCTGTGGGTACTTTTTGAAGCGTCATTAATGGAAGAGAGGCTTCATGTTCACACTTGATAAAAACACACTGGTATTCCCTTTATGAAGAATACAGACCAATGAACTCTCCAATATGAGATTTTATCATCACCACTCTTAATTGTGTACTGCATGTGTCACATGCTTTACTGGTTTGCATGTGTTAAATATCCTGTATAGTAACACCTGGAGTTGCCCAGCTGCTCTGCAAGGGTGCTTGATATTTAATTTAGCATTACAACATTAGAAAATTAGCTTCAGACACCCTCCTGTATGAATTTCTGTTACACAACAACAGATGTAATCTCTTCAAACTGCTCAGCTTAATGGTTTAGGTTAGATTTAACTTCATATTGTGGAAATGACCCACAAGTACCCTCTTGAGTTTGTTGGCACAAAGAAGTAGCCAATTATTTCTGGCATCAGTGAAAAATACTTATATTTCTCACTGATTATATTTAAGGATTATATTTAACCTTAGATTCCAGTTTATTGTCTGGGTCAAGGCTAGCATTGAGATATGTTCAAAACTGAAGAAAGGAAGGCAGCTGCTAGAAGCTCTCCTAAAGCTCTTACAACTGATGATGCGGCCTTTTGCATACACATCATGCCCAGTTTCAATGAAAGCTTCAATATCATTAACGTTTGCAAGAAAAGTGTTAAATTACAGCAAACAGCATCACTGGTTACTGATAGAGTTCTGCAACAAGATCGTGTCAGAATGAGCTGACATTTACCCCACTGTATTAGTGCATGGATCATACTACTTCAGTATATTAACGTACTTCAATATATGAACTTAGTCTATGCCATCCTGTAGCGGGGTTGCTTTTATTCCTTACCATTTTCCAGGCATAGCTGACATTGTAGGCTTCTTTGCCAATTTCCCTCAGTTTGTTCACATGCCAAGAGAGTGAGGAGTTCACAGGAACTGTAATGATCTGGCTGCCCAAGGGAATGCTACAATGGCAGATAAAACATCCAACATTGTATTAAACACTGAGTAAGTGCTTAAGAAATATCCATGTATTGTGCATTTATAAAAATATCTAAAGATATGGTGAGAATAACTCTTATCTGTTTTGGGTGAAGAAAAGGTGCGTGTATGGTGAAAACACACTCCTTACCACCACGTTTTGAATTAAAACACGTGCTCAGATTAGGCAAAGGATAGAGAAAAACCTAGGCCAAACAGTGAGAAATCTTCCTGACATGGAAGAAAGATCAGAAGGAGTATCTTCTGGATTAGTGATGGAAACCAGTGGTTAGCACACCAAATGAGAAAATGAAGAAAGCTGGAGGTAAAAACAAACCAGAATTGTTGGGAGGGGGAAGATTCCATCAAAGTAGCCAGATATTTTAGGAAAAGGAACTTTATATTCTCTTAAAACTCCTCTGGAAATACCTGTAGTGCCCTCAAGACTGCTGATGTTTGGCCTTGCACCTTGATTCCTTACCTAAGGATGTTCTGGCGCACCAGCTCGAATTTAGGAATGTTCTCATAATGGATGATATCTGTGTGGAGTGGTGGTTCAGACAGCAGGTAAGGCCTGGTAAGGGATGGGTGCATAAGCGTGTATCCTGAAAAAGAAAGACCCAAACCCATACATTGAGTGCAGAGTAACAACTGAGCCCAGAATGAATATTTATAGGGGAAAAGAATACAGTGACTACATACAGGTTGTGCAAAGGCTTAACAGTGAACAAGCAACTGTTACCATCAAAGAAGTTGCAAATGAAGGCCTAGGTAAGCTGTAAATGAAAGACAGCTTGAAGACCCAAGCAACAAAGAGCAGTTGGGACCAGAATAGCTGCACACACATGTACACCAGTTTTGCCTTTTGTCCCAACACACAGAGAAAACCTCAGCTACATGTTACACATGTAGGAAATCTTCACAGGGAGTAAGTCTTTTCTCAACAAAACTTTGGCTCAGGAGTTTTAAGTCACGAATCCACCACAGTCTCCAGCAACTCTCAGGTAAAACTAACCCAACAACATCTTTTAATGGATATTATCCTTCATTACTTATCAACTATTGACAGACATGAGAACTGAGTTTCCTTTTGATGGTTACTGTAGTAGAAGAGATCATCTGAGCCAAAAGTTACCTTTATTGTCAATGAGGAAAGTGTAGGAACCCAAGGAGTCTTGGTAGTAGGTGACATCTTCCAAGATATAAGCGAGATTAACATCTACTCCAACAATCCCCAGCAGCAGGTTGCCAAAGTAACACGGTTTACTCACAGTCATTATCAGGCCTTAGAATGAGAGAAATAACATAAAACCATCAAAAAAATAGCATCTATTTAGTTCTTTTTAGAGGAAACAGAGCATGTGCTTCATCATTTCAACATGTTATGCAGTTAAAGTTTTATAGAGCATTCCCTGCAGGAATATGGACAAAAACTGGCATGCCTGCAGGGAAGCTGAGCAGGTTATTTGTCATGTCTGAGCTGATCATCTGCCATGTCTGGCTGCTGTTAGCTACTCGCCCAAGTTAGTTAATGTCTATGTTTCTGATAGCGACCTGAGGTCCTCCCATATGAAGATCGGCTGAGAAAGTTGGGGCTGTTCAGCCTGGAGAAGAGAAGGCTGCGTGGAGACCTCAGAGCAGCCTTCCAGTATCTGAAGGGGGCATATAGGGATGCTGGGGAGGGACACTTCATTAGGGACTGTAATGGTAGGACAAGGGGTAATGGGTTAAAACTGAAACAGGGGAAATTTAGATTGGATATAAGGAGGAAATTCTTTACTGTTAGGGTGGTGAGGCACTGGAATGGGTTGCCCAGGGAGGTTGTGAATGCTTCATCCCTGGCAGCATTCAAGGCCAGGTTGGACGAGGCCTTGGGTAATATGGTTCAGAGCAAGGTGTCCCTGCCTATGGCAGGGGGGTTGGAACTTGGTGATCTTCAGGTCCTTTCCAACCCGAACTATTCTATGATTTTATGATTCTATATTTGATCCATTTATTAAAATACACCACAACTGATGTTTTAAGGCTGTTGTCAGTCTACAAGGAAGAAGCTCTTCCCTGTGAGGGTGCTGAGGCGCTGGCACAGGGTGCCCAGAGAAGCTGTGGCTGCCCCATCCCTGGCAGTGCTCAAGGCCAGGTTGGACAGGGCCTTAGGTGACACAGTCTAGTGTGAGACTTCCCTGCCCATGGCAGGGGTTGCAACTGGATGATCTTAAGGTCCTTTCCAACCCAAACCATTCTATGATTCTCCAAGTGATGCCTTACAGATCAGCAATGTATTTGCCTCAAAAGCCAAGGTAGTATTTTGCTCTTTTAACCTCCTTTAAGGCAATTGAAAAATAGAGGGAGGAGGGAGGAAGAGAATTTGAACTTGTAAAGCAACAATAGGGATGAATTCTTGCTCATCTAATTGCATAATTAGAATATTAAACCTCCTCTGCTTCACTAAATCCCAGTATGGCCACTGTACTAGGAATCATACCCATAATTACACAACAGTTTGGGATGCATCTTGTGCCTGAAGTAAGAATTCTCAGTAATGTCTTATTTCTTTCCTTTCTACATTGCTGCTACTTGGAAACTCAACAACTCTTTTACTTCAAACCAATATAAAATTCATTTGCCTGTATAAGCTTTTAAGTATATTTTGAAATTTAGGTAAGACCAGTGTTCTTGATTGCACCATTTCTAATCCTTCTGTTGCTCAAAGTTTCCATTGTGCTTGGATATGGCTTTGTGAGAGACTAATAATACAGCTTAATTACCAGGGTTATGAAACACAGAAAGCAGCATTCTGACTCAGAAGAGATGGGCTCAGAAATAGTCTTAAGTTTGTTTTGGGACTCAACACAGACAGAGAAAATGTGCAACCTAAACTCAGCATAACTCTCAACTGCTCCTCTGCCAACACTGAGAATAGGCAAAGTCCTGAATGAAGAAATACAGAACTTGCTCAATTGCTAAAGCAATACAAAATAATATTAAATGTGTTTCCTAACACCACTGTGATGGCCACATCTACAGATGGCAGTGCTAGAGAAATGTTATATGAGCTGCCCACGAACTACAAGCCAGCAGCTCTGACCTTCCAAACAGGTACCCTGAGCTTTAGGAAGGGCACCAGATCCCAAAGGTAAGAAGAACAGCAGCACTTAAGCTGCTGATGCTTGAACTAGTTGCTCAGGTTGGATGGGGCTTGGAGCAACCTGCTCTAGCTGAAGGTCCCTGCCCATGGCAGGGAGTTGGAGCTGGATGAGCTTTAAGGTCCCTTCCAACACAAAGCATCCTGTGATTCTGTGATCCTATGACCAAAGGCTGGGTGTGTGTCCATCCAGAGGTGCTCTGTCAGGACCATGGGAGCTGCACAAGACCGCTCCCTACTTCTTTAACCTACCCCCAGCAAGAACCCAAAAAGGATCACCCCACAGTGCATGCTTATCCTGAGCACAAGTGAAACTGGTTTCTGCATTTCTTACACATCATCTCACAGGCACAATGCTATGCTCCCAAAAATCTCTATGGATCTCTACCCCTTCCGTCTCTCCATTACTGGATGTAGTGTGAGATCAGATCTAGTTGAACCCAGAGTTTTTGTTAACATGGTATCTAATTTTAAGGGAAAAGGGAAGATCCGTGTTCCTTCTCATCATGTCAGCATAAATGACATACTGACAGGAGAATCAGACTGCAGACACCTGCTGCACTTAGATATTCTTCAGGATAGAAGAATAACAGTAATAATATCTTAGAATAAGAATAACCTGTGGAAAAACTGGCACTAGGCTTCCAGTAAATTCAGCATTTCAGTCACTCCAGATTGGCCAGGCAGTCACCAGCCAGCTCAGGCTTCCCCTTCTGCCCATTGCTTGAGGCAGACCAAGTGTGCAGAAGCTAAAAGAAGAGCTAAGGATAGTGAATTTTCTACAGTAGCTAATAATCTCTTTCTGCTATTTGCTAAGGTGGTTGCTTTTCCCCACTTGCAATCCACTGAGTTTACCTGTAAGGCCTCAAGACATACAGAAGTACTGAAATGATGAACCCTGCAACAGGGCAGCATGGTGATGGCTGTCACCTCAATGTGACAAGATTGTTTCCCCCAGGTACAAAGAACTCTCCACAAATGAAATGATGGATGCCGTATAAGCACACAAGAACAATTTTCACCCATAAGAATCCATCCTAAATTTGTCTATTCCGTGTCTTATTACCAGTTTTTTCATAACTAGACCTCCTGCAGATAAAACAACCTACTGGCATGAAAGGCTAATATGATATTTGCCTTGGGAACACACCTAAAAGCATCATCTTATAAGACTACGGTATATTTGGGAACATGTAAGCAAACAGAACCTAATCTCTTATGCTTTTATAGCTAAATGCAACGTAAGCACTCACCATCTCCCATTTCATCTGAGAACGGCAGACTGAAGACTGCCTCATCGATCATTCGGTTGGGGAGGTTTGTGTAGAATCGGCCAACTGTTGTTTCCAGGTTACTCAGCTGGTTGAGGACCATCATGCTCCCCTTGATCACAGGCAGCACTGTTCGGTCGGGCACCCCGTACTTCACCGAGTTCTGCTCTGCCAGGTCCCGCAGAAAGGCCAGTTCCTTCAAACCTGTCACTCCCTCTGAAACAGGGGTGCAAGAAGAAGAAGGAAGGAGACGAAAGCAGCTTAATTTCCATCCAGACTTCTGTACCTTACTCCAAAGTACTATAAATTCAAGGCCAGGTTGGACACAGGGGCTTGGAGCAAGCTGCTCCAGTGGAAGGGGTCCCTGCCCATGGCAGGGGTTGGAGCTGGAGGAGCTTTAAGGTCCTTTCCAACCCAAACCATTCTAGGATTCTATGAAATAAAAGCAAAATGATACATACACTAAACTGTAGGGCTGCACATACCATAGGCTTATTTAAGCAATAAGGTAAAGTGCTGAAAAAACTAGTAGGGGTGTAGAAAACGTAATTAGCTAGTACAAAATTCCATGAGATTGCCTCTCACATACTGCTGCACAGCACAAAAAATGAACATGTGTTCACATCACCACTTCAAGCAAAGATCTTTCACCAAAGACTTATGTGACCTATAAATCCACAGGACAGCTCTTTGTTCTCCATCCATGGCTAGTTCACATAAACGACCAGGAGCACATTACACGTTCTTGGAGATAAGAGGCTTTGTTCTTTAGCTTAAACATCACAGTTTCATATTTTACACAATTGCCAGGCTCAATTTCTGCAGACAAATCAAAGACTTTTGTATATGTTAGGTCTGCATTGAGTATTTAAATTTACAGTCAACCAATACATTAGCTTAAGCACTGGTTTCCTTGGCTAGAGTCAGTGTGCAGTTCTTACTAGTACATCATACACGCTGCTTACTGAAAATGCTTTGTTGGATGTTGAAACAGGATGCCAAACTACTACATCCATGATCTTCATATTTAAGTTCACTCTTAAGTTGGGTCTTAAGTTACCAAAGCATTTCGGATTATGTTTGATGTTACATTCAAGCTCCTGGCTGATGTCTGATACAAAAGTCAGGTATACTCTCATTTTGCTGCAGCAGGAAACATGGGCAGTGTCAGGAAGGTTTACTGTTGCAATGGTTATCACATCTCATTCAGTCTGGTTGCCACTAGACAATTCCAGCAACAAAACTTTGTATCCTGAGCAGCTGCACTGTGATATGGAAGCATAGAGTGGCACTGAGGTTTTTATACCAAAGTATTTAACATCTGGGGGCAGCCTCTGAATAACTAAGGCCAAAATCCATTAACAAACTGCTCCCAGTAAGGCATGGAATTACACTTGAGAGAGCTAATAAACTAGTCGTACAATGAAAGGGGATTTTCATCCACTGGAAACACAAAACCATTTCTCACCATTCATAAGTGCGTAAGTAAGAATCATAACTGAGTTGTTGAGGAAACTGTTCTCTTCATTGATGACCCGGAGAGTAGCTTTTTTATCATCTTCTGAGGAATCTTTTGATGTAATCCCAGCCGAGAGATAAATTATCACCATATCAGTATCTGAAAAGAGTGATATAGAGAGTGCAGAAAGTGCATTAGAACTTAAACTCAGGGAAGTCATGCACAGCCCTTACATCTGCTTGCAACTGTGTATTGCCAATGGGGTCATTTGTGAGAGTGACAGTGGATAAACACATTGCAGGGTTATGAATTACGTGACTGGTATTAAACTCCATTGACAGCATTTAACAAACATGGTTTGATTTGGTGCCTACCAGCCACCCAGAAGCACTGTGGCTTGTTTCTCCTGAGCAGACATCACTGGTCTGGCTGCAGCCAGGCAGGAGCATGTGAGACCAGCATGCAGCATGCTGCAGAAACTGCTTCTTGGAGAGAGCTTAACAAAAGCCAAAAACCTGCAAGTTTCATCTCCTGACCCACTGTTCTTCTCCCATCCTGCAGATCTATAGAAGAGTTAAGATGTGCTGCATCACAGGGGAGCATCTGATTGTACTTCCCACATGGAAAGTGAATGGTACTTTCCCAGTGTTGCTGCTGCAAGACCTGTGCAGGGGGGTCAGCATCACTGCTGTTGCTGATCATGGGGCCCTCCTCCTCCTCCCTTTGGTAAAGTTTAGCCATGATGAGCTTTGGTAAAGTTATCAGCCCCTGGTGCCAGGGCACACAAAGAGTTGTACATGAGAAACCCCAAATCCCTGTAAAAGACCTTTTCATGCACCACTACTCTTTCGCACCCACATTAGCACTGGTGCAACTCAGTCCATGCCTTGCAGGGTGGTAGCTGGAGGACACTACAGGATGAAAGGCACCTGGCACTTTCCCATGCTGTAGGATAGACAAGTTCATGACAAGTTGGATGATAAGTTGACTATGAACCTGGCAGTGTGCCCTTGCAGTCAGGAGGGCCAATAGTAACCTGGGGTGAATGGGGAGGAGTGTGGCCAGCAGGTCAAGGGAGATGATGATGCCCCTCTACTGAACCGGGTGAGACCACATCTGGAGTGCTGTGTCCAGTTCTGGGCTCCTCAGCACAAGTGACAAGCAACTGCTGGACAGGGTTCAGTGGAGGCTACAGGGATGCTCAGGGATTTGGAGCATCTACCTTATGAGGAGAGACTGCAGGAGCTGGGGCTGTGTAGTGCAGAGAAGAGCAGCCTGAGAGGGGATCTCATCAATGCACATCAACAGCTCCAAGGCAGGTGCCAGGAGGATGGTGCCAGACTCTTCCCAGTGGTGCCCAGTGACAGGACGAGGAGCAACGGCCATAAACTAACACCCAGTGAGTTTCACCTCAACACGAGGAAGAGCTTCTTTACCGTGAGGGTGGCAGAGCCCAGGACAGGCTGCCCAGGGGCCCTTGGAGTCTCCCTCTCTGGAGACATCCCAAACCCAGCACGGCCACGTTCCTGTGTAACGTGCTCTTGGTGGCCCTGCCTTGGCAGGGGGTTGGACTGGATGAGCTCCAGAGCTCCCTTCCAACCCTAATGATGCTGTAGAGTGTAAGGCTTGAGAAACACGACATGGCACACGGCCGTCCATCATCACAGCTCTCGTTGGGCATGAAGAGGAACACGTTTCTCAAGCTGAGTATGTTCTTGGCCGAAGGCCTGCCTCAGAGCCTTGGAACACGTACATTCATATCCTTACACACCAACCTGTTTCATCATATTCTATCTCAGTGGCTTATGCATGTAATTAAGGCACTTGTAGGGATCATACATCACCAGATGATCTGAAGCACATGAGGTTAGTTGGTTATGTACTGACTTTGTTGTCTCATCTGGCTTTTTTTTGTGGGTTTCTTTTTAATGGGTATGAAGGCTTTGACTTGTACATTTTGTCATCATGGCTTGAAAAGAATTTCAGCCAGAATGAAGAAAAAGCTGTTAATGTGGGGAGAATTTCTGCCTTTCCCCCCGCCCCCTCCACCCACCCCTCCTTGTTTTAGAGGCTAAAATAAGGAAAAAAGCAAAGCCAGGCATTAATGAAGCTTTGGCTGCAACTTAGGAAAAATGTGTATGTTTCCTAGGCTATGGCACAGAATCCTGGAACGGTTTCAGTTGGAAGGGGCCTTAAAGCTCAACCAGTTCCAACCCCTGCCACAGGCAGGGACCCCTTCCACTGGAGCAGCTTGCTCCAAGCCCCTGTGTCCAACCTGGCCTTGAGCATTGCCAGGGATGGGGCAGCCACAGCTTCTCTGGGCACCCTGTGCCAGCGCCTCAGCACCCTCACAGGGAAGAGCTTCTGCCTAAGAGCTCAGCTCAGTCTCCCCTCGGGCAGGTTCAAGCCATTCCCCTAACCCTACAGGCCCTTGTCCCGTCCCTACAGGCCCTTGTCCCAAGCCCCTCTCCAGGTTTCCTGCAGCCCCTTTAGGCACTGGAGCTGCTCTCAGGTCTCCCCTTCAGGAGCCTTCTCTTCTCCAGGCTGCCCCAGCCCAGCTCTCTCAGCCTGGCTCCAGAGCAGAGCTGCTCCAGCCCTCGCAGCATCTCCATGGCCTCCTCTGGCCTTGCTCCAACAGCTCCACGTCCCTCTTGTCTTGAGGGCAAGCAGCATCTACTAGTAAAGTTTCAGCCAACTACTGAAGTTTAGGCCACAGCTACAACACGTTCATCTGACTGTACCCTGCTCAGTTGCTAGATAGGGCTGTCAGGAGGCTTTTACCATCCTTGTGCAATAAGATGAAAGGGGGGCAACTTTCTCTAAAGTAAGAAAATAAGAACAAACATACAGCCGGGCTGCTGGTGCTGGCTGGGAGGAGATGCATGAGTCATCAGGAGTTACTCCAAGAACATCAGCTGTAGTGTCTTGCAGAATCCTCCTACACAGCTTTTTTGTTTGTCACTGTTTGTGTGTTAGGATTAGGAGGTTTTGGCACACTTCCATTAATGTGAAATCACAGACTTTTACTAGGCTTCATAGCAAACAGCTATTTTGGGGCACAAGTATGAAAAAGTAAAAGGAAAGGCAAATGCTTTGGATTTAGGATTTCTCTAAGAATGAAAGGTTTGGAAGACCTAATGTGTACAAAGCAAATACCAGAATTCATGGGGTGAAACACAATAGGGTTGAGAAGAGGATGTTTATAAAGTGCCTCGCTTTTTGTAAATAATCTTTTCATCTTTAAAAAGGAAAATAAAGACAAATAAACCCAGAAAAAAAAAAATCACTCATTTCACTGTTAATTTTCCAACATCCTGTTCCCAGGGAACAATGTGTGGGTGTGTTGGGGAAGCTGTTGAGATACAGCCGCACTCCTGAATGCACAGTGGAAAAGTTAGAAGGGGACTGTTGGTGTGAGGCAGAAGAATTGTGCTGTTCACCACGTCTGAATTTCCTGCCTTGTGCTCGTGCCTTCTGCAGCCTTGCTGAGCAGGACCTCATCCCAAAGCGTAAGAAAACACTGCCCCTGAGTACCAACACTCCCTCAAAGCTGTAGGGAAATAGGGAGTGGGGTGTGTGTATCTGTGTGTGTTTATATCTATACACACATATAAAATTGCAATGTAATATCTATATGATATAAACACATGCTATAGATAAATGCAGTATAATCTAAACTTAAGGGCCTTTGCTAGCTATCAGAAAGGTAGTGTATCAGACAGCACAGGATGATCTGCTACTGAATTATAAATGCCATGTTTAGACTGGACTCCAATGCAGGTTTAGGACTGTCTTGTGTTACTCCTGCTAGCAAAGTTCTTAGAGTGCAGAATCATGCCTGGCTGCAGTACATAACTTCTTGAGAGATACGGACCTGCTCAATGGAGATGCTGCGAGGGCTGGAGCAGCTCTGCTCTGGAGCCAGGCTGAGAGAGCTGGGCTGGGGCAGCCTGGAGAAGAGAAGGCTCCTGAAGGGGAGACCTGAGAGCAGCTCCAGTGCCTAAAGGGGCTGCAGGAAAGCTGGAGAGGGGCTTGGGACAAGGGTCTGCGGGAGTGGAACACATCCCTGGCAGTGCTCAAGGCCAGGTTGGACACAGGGGCTTGGAGCAAGCTGCTCCAGTGGAAGGGGTCCCTGCCTGTGGCAGGGGTTGGAGCTGGAGGAGCTCTTAAGATCCTTTCAACCCAAACCAGTCTGGGGTTCTGGGATTCTATGAAGCAGCATTTTATAAACTGAAGGAAAGCCACATGAAGTAGGAGCACATTTCCTCAGTCTTTCCAAAGCATTCCTGGACTTTTCTTTTTCACTTTCTTCTGCTCTGTACAACACTGGTGCCCTTCAGGACACTAAAGGATTTGCATTCACTGGAGCAGACACAGGACCAAGCTATAGGATCTGTTACTTAAAATGCCTAAACTGATAGAGATCAATCTGCTTTCTCCACCCTGTCACAGCTTTGGCCATGCTGCTCAACAAGCACTCAGAGCACAGGTTCAAGAATTTGCCTTCCCCAGCTTCCTGGCAAGCAGACGTGCCACTCCGTTTCACATCCATCTTTTCCACATCTTTCACCACATCCTCATTACAGAAAACCCCAGTCTTGGCAATGGGAAAGGAGAAAGCCCATAATATATGCACCAAAATTCAGGAGGATATTCATAGATGAAGAAAAATTTAGCCAGGCCAACCCTGTGTTCCATAAAATATCACCCATAATTGGTACTCTTAGAAAACCCTCTTCCCTGAGAAGCAAGGGCCACTTCCATAGGCAGGATTCCAGTTAGGCACATTACCCATAGATATATTAGCACTAAGGAACCTGCAGGATCTGCAATTTTCATTGAAAGGACCCCACACCCCATCACACCATTGGGAAATAAATCAGCTATCAGGCAATAGAATCCTCCAGTGTTGTATTACAGTTCAATGGAAAGAGAGGGCAGCAAGTGATATGAATTAAAAGGGAATGGCCACATTCAAGTCACTCCTGCAGATTCCAGGTCAAGTAAATGCTACTTAATAAACACGTGCTTCCCACCCCCCTTCCTTTTTAATATTCAAGACACTGCATTCCTTTGGCCTCTGCCCAAGTGAAAATCCCAAATAAAAATACCTTTGGAAGCCTGAGAAATGCTGAGGATTGCCCAACAAGAGACTTACTTCCTTGGAGTTTTGTGCCATTGTTTGTATTGCGTATCAACTGGAAAGCCTTTTGAAATCCCAGCGCATGCTGCGTGGAGCTGTCAGATGACTTTATACTGCTAACGAAGGTGGACATCTTCCTTTTTGTCTCGCTAGTGGCAGGAGACAGGAAGGTCTTATAGCACTGATCCAGCGAGCAGGTTCTTACTGTGTCTGCCACGGTTAACACGGAGATCTTGAAAGAGAAGAAACTATATTGGATTACCTTCCTATTTAGAGTTCTTTATGCACCGATAGAGAAAACACAATGCTAAGCCAACTGAAGAGATTCCCTGGGTTTAAAATTCAATTGTTAAAAACTAAATGCTGGAGGCATAAATCCATCAAATTTGAAAAGGATTAGACTCCTGGTGAATTCAAGGAAAAGAGACTTCAGGCTTTGTTCCTCAGATGAAGTCAGCTTTGCTCTGCTCATACATAATAGTTAATACACTGTTCCGGGCAGAAGCCTGAGCGAACTAGAGATAACTGGGAACAAAATCAGCAGAGAGCATTTGCAGGAAAGCCTTGAGTGCCTATAGAGAAGTGAAGTGCTACAGAAAACCAAATCAAATAAGGAAATAAGCTCTGAGAGCTTTTCACAGGCAAAACATTCCGTTGCTTTAACGTCTCAGACAAAGCAAGCCAAATCTACCATCAATTTTCAGCCTATAAATGAGTTAAGGCATGTAGTGGTAACACTTGCATTAATATACACATAACAGATCAGCCTTATTAAATGAGCGGCATACTTTATTAGGAATTAGGACTGATGCAAGACACCGTCAGAATGAAGCAGTAATTATACACCCATATAACAGGTTTCATAACCACTGAGCTACTGACCAAGTAACAAATGTCTTAAATGTCTTTCCTTCATTAGAGTTCTATTAAGACAGACACTTCTGGCACTTTAAATTCTATTAATTCTGCTAAACTATAAGTATTATTTTACAGTATCAAAACTCTCCAGAAGCACAGAAGTTAGAAGGGTTTTTCCTGTGCTATTATTGAGAAGACTTAAGGCAAAGGATACAAACAGTTGTTCTTTGATTTGATTTGACTGAAACTCCATTCCTACTCAAAGAAAAGGGAAAACCAAGCTGAAACACTGGTCAAGGTCCCACTAGCAGTGAATTGCTAAAAGTAAGGACCAAACTGGAGACTGTTTGTGGTTCTACAGAAGCACTATATGAGCCCCTGGGTGTAATCCATACTTAAAATTAGAGGTTAAGTGATTTCCTCACTGTCTGTGGCAGAGCAAGAAATAAAATCCATGTTTCTTGGTCCTTTGCTTTATCCTTCCCTTACCGGTATCACAGTTGTCTGGGAATCTTCCAAACACTAATTATGTTTCAACAGAATATAGTGTAGCAGCAGAATATAATATAGCAGCAGAATAAATCATTTCCATTTTCACAAGCCAAAAAAGAGCTAAAAAGTGTTGCTCAAAGCAATCTAATACTTCTGAAGTTGTGAGGCTTGAAGCATGGTTCTCCTAACTGTGCACTGTATCACACTGCTGACCATCACCTAAAGTCTCTGCCAAGATGAAAGAGCCTTGAAAGACTACTCAGAAACAAGATTTTACCTTAGATCATTGGTTTTCACTTTTTTTAAAGCCTGTGGATCCTCAGATGTTTCCTCTGCTGTAACACAGACTACCAAAAGTGAGTTCAGGTCTTCATCACCCATTAGAGGTAGACCACAGACCCCTGTGAGTCCATGGACCACAAGCTAAAAACACAGCTTTGGATGGGAACTGAAAACACTGAGCATGGTTGAGACCAACGAAAATCTGCTCAGTGCTTGGAGAAATCATACCTTATCGTGTTCATCTATAGAGCTCAGGATAACCTGAGCTGCATCTTTGGCAATCTGAAGCTGCGTCTCCGTGACTGAAGCCCCATGGTCCACAATGACAACAATGTGCTTGGACTGAGGTCGAACGGTGGAAACATAGACAGGCCTGAAGAGGAACAAAACCCAAAGCCCCATCATGAGTCATCTTGTCATTTCCACCAAAACCTTTACAAGTGAAAGAAGTCAAGAATTAAAAAGGAAAAAACACACCCCACAAAGAGACAATCCATCAGTTATAGGAGGGATTTTTGCCTTTAGGAAAGATCAGCCGAGAATCTGAACATAGAGAAAGGGCCTTTGCTTTCAATCTCTGACGTTTTAACCCAAATCAGGTGTTGAATCCTTCTTCCTCTGTCACAGCACTCACTTTAAGCCATGAATAAGCAATTTTGCTGATGGAGCAGCAGTGTTTGGGATTACTGTTTGCATCAGCTCACATCAAGTTTTGGATTAAGAGTTGACAAGCAAGAAAAGCCTCATGGTAGATGTTGGGTGCCGGGAACCTTACTCACATGCAAAGTAAGTGCAATAGTGGGTATTTGCTGGTTACAGGACAAGTAAAAACCTGTGTGTGCAGGGTTGCATTAGCATAGGCTGTTGGGTTTATGGTAAGAAGGGAAGGCTTCTGGCCAAGAAAAGGTTTTCTCTTGGAGCCCTGGAATGCATTTCCCATGGGTCATGCTCCACAAACCCTTAGGTCTGCACAGTTTTAAACTGCACGGCCCATCTGAGTTAAGTCTGGTGAAGGTTCTCAGTGCTGCCATGTGTCTGTCTGTGCTAACATCAAACCCTGTATTTCCACTGAAGCAGTGCTCAGATCCAGTTCAATATTGTGAGAGATGTGTAAGAGATTTCACAAGCTCTTGTGCCAAGGTTTTAACCTGGAACAAATTAGGAAGAGCCTCAGCAAAGAGGAAGGATTAAAAAGAAGACAAGACTCTTCCCTCTTTAGTCCAGACCAAAAACTAGTTAAGAGTCAAGTGTGAGTTTTGGGATCTAAGTTTTATTATATCAAAGGCAGCCAGAGAAATCTTTTTAAGTGTAAAGGAAATGCAGAAGACTTTAGACAAGGCACAGCAATAAACAACTGGCACAAATAAGTCCTTAATTGTAAAACAGCCTGCAGCTCTATACTGGTATTAGTACCTAGAACTTATACAGGCCCTTTGATCTTCAAAGCACTTAAGTATTAACTAATTAATCCACACAAACTATCCTTTGAAGTAAATATTAGCAAGAAGATATCCCTTATGTAGCCATGGGGAAACGGTGACCCAGAGTAAATGCTTTGGATGAAATCACCCATGGTTTTAGTGTCAAAACTCTGATCAAGACTGGGGTACCCCAGTTCTCACGTCTTCAGACCACACCTTTCCATGACCACAGAAAACTTAATCAAGCTCAGACACTTCATGCTTTGATGACACAGAGAAGATAACATCTGTAAACATCTGATTGCTCAACACTGATGGGTAATCAAAGAGCTGCTTACTCTCTGGGCACTCAGCTACATGGAAACGTACCTGATGTGCTGATACCTCCTCCACACACATTGATTAACTGGTACAATTAGCTGTTGTGTGACCAGAGATACTAAAGCCACTGCACTTTCTTAGATGATTCCACCCTTGAGTCTTTTATCAGTCTGTACTGATAAAAGTCAGTACTGACAGCAAAAGGCAGGGATAAAAAGTACTACCCTACAACTGCTTTGCTTCATGCCCACCAAGTAGAAACACTCCCTTGTGCAGGAAAGCCCTGTCACCATTTGATCCTTTTTTCTACAGCTCTTTTTTACTATAAAGTTTCCACTGCTGCTGCTTCCATACTATCCATGGTGTGCCAATTGAACCTGGGGTGGAGACGGGGAAAATGCTCCTACCAATGCCCCTTCCAGTTTCTCATCCTTCTACCCCTCTCCCCAAAGCAATGGACCTGCCAAACCAGTAGAAACCATGTTCACTACTTTATTAACAGGGGTCAAATGTAAGTTGAATTTTGCCTATGGGCTGACCTACAATTTACAGGTTGCTGCTATTTGCAACTTACTCCATTTGGGAGAAGTGAGAAACCTGTATGTAACTTCATTTCACTTCAAAGTTTCTTTAAAGTGAATATTAGTGCTTTATAAACCAAACCTGAGAAAACCCAAGGGATTCCACTAAAAGTTACTCATGGATGCTGTCATCTTGGCAAAGCATAGCGCTGAAATTAAATCAGTGCTTAAGGAATACAGTGAATTGTAAGGAGACAAATCCTACCTGCTGCGATGTTCATAGCTGCCTTTGCACCGGAACTTGTGGGCTGGGAAGACAGTGAAAATGCCTTCTTCTGAGCTGAAATACTGCCACTTAATTCCTGGGTTAGACTTCAGGTTATCAGCAAGAACTGGAGGTTGGAGAAGGAAAATGAAAGATGAAGCAGAGTTACAAAGGGAAGTCAAACTGGAGGTACATTTATTAGAGGCCTCTCTCATATATGCTTGGAGAAGAATAACCAGGGTCCCAACACAAAATACAAGTAGCTCTGTTTGAAGACTGATAGAGCTTCACAAAGTTAAAGTATTTTGGAAACTTAACACTGCATTTGACAGGTTTTGTTTAATATATGATGACAGGTCCTGAATCTCTGAAGTATAACTGGATCCCAGGAAGCCAAAGCGGGAGCAAGAAAGGAAGAGATTAAGGCAGTTATATATAATATGCACATATAAAAATATTACATGTAATGATAAACATATTGTCCACATAGTTTTCATAAAGAAAAACCCCATAATATTAAAAAAATAATAAACATGTGTTCTTTATAGTGAAATAACACCAAAATATTCACTAAGTTTGCTGCTTACAGCTCAGTAACCAAATCTGTTAGCCTCCCCTATTCTAACATCTGTATAAAATGTCCACATGAGCATTTAGCACAGATAGTTTTACATGCAAATGTGGGTCAAGGAAAACCTCACTGTACAGAAACAGTTGAAAAGGTTAATAAAAACAAAAGGGAGAATCTTTCCTCTTTGTCCCTTGTGCTCTCCTATTAGTGCAGGGGGAGAAAGGCACAGCTCCCACGCTTGGGACTCCAGAACTTCTCCAAGTTTCTCATCATCCCTGTGCCCTGATTAATTTAACGAGGCTGTGGACCCCTCAAGGCTTTCTTGTTAGGAGAAACAGCCACTCTTTAGGGAAAACACAGCATCTTCCCTCAGAGGGTTTTGCAATATCCTCACTCTCCACATGCCAGCTGGTGGGTGGTGGCTCTGTGCTGGTTCCACCCATCCTCACCATGAGCATCTCCACCACGTTCCCATTTCAAGACCATAAAATACAGAGAATGATAACAACGGTTCTCAACAGCTATACTGCAACTTCCCCCCAAGCCTCTCAGACTCTGTGGCAGGTGATGATCATTAGTTAGTCATTGCATGGACAAAAGGTGAAGAACAAAGAAGATAAATGACATGTTCCCAAGTGCTGCAGTCAAGCAGGAATGGAGCTCAGAACATAACCATAGGGTACCAACCTCAAACCTTTCTGTCATTCATAGGCTACATTCATACTCTTTAAAATGTGCTTGTAATCTCTAAGGGCTTCTTAACACCAACAATGAAAGCAATTCGAAAGCTACAGCTTAGTGATATGAACACAATTGATTACATTAGTAAAACCACAAAATACACCAAAACCAACAACCAAAATAAAGCAGCTACCCCAGGGCCGAGACCATCTGCACTAATAACTTATAAAGATATTTAATACACCCAGCCAACAGACTGTACAGATACTGTGGGTATCCCAAGCACTCTGAGCCCAAGGGAGGACAAAGATGGAGTTGGAACCACCCAAGGCAGAGGTGGTATTGGGATTTCTGCCTCATAGAATCCCAGCCTGGTTTGTTTTGGAAGGGACCTTAAAGCTCCTCCAGCTCCAACCCCTGCCATGGGCAGGGACCCCTTCCACTGGAGCAGCTTGCTCCAAGCCCCTGTGTCCAACCTGGCCTTGAGCACTGCCAGGGATGGGGCAGCCACAGCTTCTCTGGGCACCCTGTGCCAGCGCCTCAGCACCCTCACAGGGAAGAGCTTCATTAAATGCAATGTCCTCACTGCCACTGGGGCATGCATCTCGACTGCTCTCCCTGCAAGCTGGAGAGATGAAGGGATCAGAACTCAGCCCATGCAAACACCAGCTTTGCCATGCCAGTGACTAAAGGCAGCCATAGGTTTGTTGAGGCTCTTAAAGCAAGAGGAAAATTGCTCACAGGAGAGAGGGAACAGAAAGACATTAGCATGGGAAGCACAAACCCTCTCACCACCACAGCAGTAATAGGATTATACCCTATTTGGGGCCAATTATTATCTCTGCTTATGACAAACTGAAAGTAAAACTTGCATTCCTGAGCATTATCTAAGATGGATCGTATCAGCCTAAAATGCATTAAGTAAAAGGCATTTCCTTGCCATTTCTCCTTTCAGGATCGATCACAAAAGTAGCCAGAACCGAGGGGAACTCTGATTTACAGATTTACAGTACTTCACCTTTTGCTGAGCATTAACTGCAGGCATTTCCCTTAGGACTGACCCTGAAAATAGGCCAAAGAGTTTCATCTCCTGGATCTCATTCATTATCAAATATGCCAATATTTGGGTTGGAAATCACCACAGGGCACATTTCAAACCACAGCCAGACATTTACAACAAAACATCCACATGGATGTCTAAGTTCAACATCCTCAACAGTTTAGCACTTCCTCAAGTTTCCCTGTCTGGCTGTGGCCACGATGTTTTCTCCACATTCAGTTCAGCATAATTACCCTGCAGAAACCACTATCTCGGGGGTTTTTCCCTTGCTTTTTGCCACAGTTTTTTGTATTTCCATAATGCCTCAAGGTCCCACTGGAAGTTCTGGCTGATCCCTGCTGGACTCTGTACAAAGATGCAGCTTTGCACAGTTGTGGCTTTGGAGAACTTGGTGCCTCAATGGACTGAAGAAGGAAGAAGAACATGATACTGAGATGGCTGATGAAGCTTTTCCCAGTGCATTGATGACTCAGTTGGGAATCAGAACCACACTCTGCTCACACCTCTCACTTTCTCATTCTTCTCCCAAAAATACCAACTCAACTCCAACAGAGACGCCAAAGCTTGTATCTCCCCCTTTCCTGTGCACAGGTAAAACCAGCTTGGAGATGCTCTTGGGAGCAAGAACCTTTCGTCTCATCAATTTTGACACCTTCAAAGAAAGCACACATGATCCTGTGAGAAAATGTCAAACAAATGTCACAGCTTGTGACTATTGTTTGTTTCACTCAAATTCCCCCTAAATTTCTCTCTTCCTTGTGTTTTCACACATGATGTGGTACCAGTTCACCAGCACCATTTGTGATTGGACAAAGAGCAGGTTTCTCTGGTCACAGACAGTGGTATCTGTGTAGCAGGGGCACAAAACCTCACATTTGAACATGGTGAAATTTAGGTATCATGGAAAACTTGGTCAAAAATCAGTTTTAATTAAAAGCAAACCAAAACTAACCCAGGGTTTCCAGCTTTTATAGCCAGGACTGTCAGAAATTCCTCTCTCCAAAGCACCCATCCACTTGTCCTTTCTGAAATCTGCTTGGGAAAACCCAGATTGATTTCTGAACTCACTGAGGGTTTGGCAGCCTGAGCCTTTGGAGAATGTGCAGCACTGGTGCTCACAGCCCACACAAGCTCTCCTGCATGGGAGCACATGGCACAGCTACAGCTGTGGGAATCCAGGAAAGCACCTGATAACATTTCAAGCTGGAAAGAGAAACCTAGGGGAAAAAATCCTTTAACAGTATCCAAGTCTTGGAAACTATCAGAAAAGGAAAATCATAACTATTGACAGATGCTTTTTTAAACACTGTGTTTCAGCAGTGTGTGACAATCAGCATTATCCATTCTACTACAATACCAATAACTGACAAAAGCTAATGCAAAGCACTTGGGATGTGGAGGTTATTCCTGGTCCAGATGTCCAGGTCCGGATGTCACAGGAGAGCCGCACAGCTCTATCATGCGATGGGCACAATGAAGTGAGTGAGCAAATCACTCAAGTGTTTTGGCTAGTCATGTAGGTGCAGGCACGGAGCACTGACAGACGGTCCAGTATGGGCTCCGAGTGTTTCTTCTGGACACTGGATTTGTCAGGAAGACATTGAGACATCAGATGGGGCTTGGAGCAAGCTGCTCCAGTGGAATGTGTCCCTGCCCGTGGCCAGGGTTGGGACTGGACAAGTTTTAAGGTCCCTTTCAACAGAAAGCAGTCTGGGATTGGATGTCTCCTTTGATACCTGGCTGATGCAGGAGGTCTAGAGACACAGCTGAGAGACCCTATGGCCAGAGGGGCTCTGGTGGGCAGTAGATGCCTTTACATCTCTGCTGCTTGACACTGCCACTTAGGCAATGCCACAGAGCCTTGGGTGATATCATCTAGCGTGAGGCACCCCTGCCCATGGCAGAGGTGTTGGAATGATCCTAAGGTCCTTTCCAACTCAAACCATTCTATGATACTATTTCCAACTCAAACCATTCTATGATTCTATCTAACATTTAAATCCTGCTTTTTATGTCCAGCCACGAGGATTTCATAGTGCTGGGGGTGAAGTGTGGCAGTTGTTTTGTATAAAGGGGTTGAATTTCTGCTATTTAAGGGGGTTTTTATTGGTTACAGAACTTGAAAAATGTATTTTCTAATCAGACACATGAACATTCAGTTAAAGCCTGGATGGAAAAACGTGTCCAGTTTAATATAGTAACGATTAAACCCCACAACTTTTAACTATAAACTCCTTTATTTTAATGCTGTCGGTGAAATTAAAGAAAAACTTCTCATTCCCACAAGGACACAGCCTGTACTTATTTTCCCAGGAGAGTATCTGGATTTTAAAAGTGCTCATTTTCCCCATAAAACAACAGGTTTTGAACTTCAAACTCCCTCCTTACAGCCTCAGCGCCTCTCTCTGCTGTTCCTCCTTCTTAAAGAGTTCTGCTCATGTTTTCCTTCAGCCAGTGTGTTAGTTCATTAACGCCCTCCCCAGAGACTAACAGTTTTATCATAACTCTTGGCTTTTTCCTTTGCTTTTTTCCCTTTCCTATGAGCACAGAAGACAATCTCCCAGCAGATAAGCCATGGCTAAGAAACACGTACTTCTTCTCTAAGCGCACTCTTATTTTCCATCACTAAAGCTGTAAGAATGTCCTGCAGATATTTCCTGCCAGGACACCCAGCAGATGCTTTTTTTTGTAGCCTAACCTCACTTAGCCCAGACTTTCCACTCCCTCAGTCGCTTGTCTGTGTTTGATTCCCACCTCCTCCTTCCAGCAAAGCCAGCCTCTGGTTATGCAATCAAAAGACCCCCCAAAAAACCCC